AAAAATTGAAACATGCGATTAATTTAGATCAATTAATCACAGGGCATGTAATTAATCAAGAGCAGCCCGAGGTTATGCCCTAATAAACACTCCAGAGGTAACTGAAGCCAGAGGTACACAGCAGCACTCACCTGCTTATTGTCACATCTTCATCCTCACACAGTTCCACAGTTTTAATAATCGGCGTACATTTGTATGACTGAATGTTTGTGTTTGTATGTCTTTGTGTGGGCACATGCTTGTCTCCACTGTCAGCAGTGTCAACAGTATCTGTGGCAGTGATGGAAAACATTCCAGTGTGAAGAGTACAGGCTCAGAAGGCAGCTGCTGTCTGACCGCAGTGGACTTTAAGAGCTTCAAGGTCACATGGAACCAAGAGATTCATCACAACAGGGAGACATGGAAGGATCAGGCAGCCAAAGGTAGATACGCTGACCTCTTAATATCTCAGTGTTGTACAATGGCTGCAAAAGTTTGGGCACCCCTGGTCAAAAGTTCATTTATTGTTAATAGCCAAGCAATTTAAAGATGAACTGATCTCCAAAAAGTAAAAATTTAAAGATGAAACAGTCAGTATGTTTTAGCAAAATGACTTTTACATTTCAATCTTTGACAGTTTCAGATTAACAAAAAAGGAAAAGGGCCTGAAGCAACAGTTTGGGCACCCTGCATGCTCAGTGCTCAGTAGCGCCCCCTTCTTCTAAACACTTCTTGTATCCAGCTCAGAGTCTTTCAGTTCTTGTTTGGAGGATTTTCACCCATTCTTCCTGCAAAACGCTTCTAGCTCTGTGAGATTATTGGGCCGTCTTCATGCTCTGCTCTTTGAGCTCTATCCACAGATGTTTAATGATGTTTAGGTCGGGGGACTGTGAGGGGCGTGGCCAAACCTTCAGCTGGCTCCTCTTGAGGTCGTCCATTGTGGATCTGGAGGTGTGTTTAGGATCATTGTCCTGTTGTAGAAGCCATCCTCTCTTCATCTGCAGCTTTTTTTACAGATGCTGTGATGTTTGCTTCCAGAATGAATCCATTCTTCCCTCTACCTGTGAAATGTTCCCCGTGCCACTGGCTGCAACACAAGCCCAAAGCATCATCCATCCACCCCCGTGTTTAACCGTTTGTTCTCCAAACATACCTCAAAGTTCTGTTTTACCTTCATCAGTCCACAGGACTTGTTTCCAAAAAGCATCAGGCTTGTTCACATGTTCCTTTGCAAACGTCTGACGCTGAATGTTGTGGTGAGGACACAGGAAAGGTTTTCTTCTGATGACTCTTCCATGAAGCTCATATTTGTCCAGGTGTGTCTGCACAGTAGAACAGTGCACCACCACTCCAGAGTCTGACAAACCTTCCTGCAGGTCTTTTGCAGTCAAACAGAGGTTTGATTTGCCTTTCTAACAATCCTACGAGCAGCTCTCTCACAAAGTTTTCAGCTTGACCTCCACAGTTCCTGTTAACTGTCATTTCTTACTGACATGACCAACTGAGGAAACAGCTCCCTGAAAACACTTTGCTATCTTCTTCTAGTCTTCATCAGGTCTTTTAGTTTTCAGAGTGCTAGGCAGCTGTTTAGAGGAGCCCATGGCTGCTGATTGTTGGGACTAGTTTTCAGGAGTCAGAGTTTTTATAAAGCTTTGAAATTAGCATCATCTGGCCTTTGCTAACGATGACTGTGAACAAGCCAGAGCCCTAACAAGCTCATTAAGCTCTGAGACCCTGGGAAAAGCTGTCTGAGAGCTCAAATGTCTTGGGGTGCCCAAACCTTTGCATGGTGCTGCTTTCCTCTTTTTCCACTCTAAAATTGTACAAAATAAAATGAATTGACAGTCTAAAATGTTGAAAAGCATGTTTCATGTGCTCGTGTGTGTGTGTGTGTGTGCTGGTAGACATGGGGGAAAAGGTGAAGAAGGAGGCAGAGGAGGGTGGCCAGGAAGAGAAGGACACAGAAGAAGAGAAACAGTCAAACAGAACTGTCGACACATCCAAAACAGGACAGGACAAAATGAAAACCGATGTGGAGGTGCAGGAGGAGGCGGAGAACAGAGGGCAGCTGGAGGAGCAACAGCCTCAAGAGGAGGAATGAGACAAGAATCCAGGTGGAGCAGCAGAGTCCTCGTTGGGATCAGGCCCCAATGACCCAGACAGGAAGAAGCCTGACGGTCACACAGAGAAGCAGCAGCGGCAGCGTCCGAACGGTACGTGTCCTGACAATTTCATCACTTTGAATCTACATTTACAATTTACAAGGCTTTAAAAGATTCATGGTGTGCACATGGAGCATAATGCTGACTTTCTGAGATGTTGTAGACGTTTAGAAAGCTTCACAAGGCGTGACAGTGAAAATATGACTTGATAAAGGACCCATTCACACGCAGACACAGAGCTCAAAGCTCAAAGACTAGATTGTGATGTCATGCTGACTTAGCTTTTGCTGTCGTTACAGGCCCTCAGCCTGACTGCCCTGTCATCCATTACTGTAAGAGACCCAGCTATGCAGCCAGCTCCCACCGGCTGCTGAGGTCAAAGGTCACTGAGATGCGGCCCATTGATGCCAGGGGGAAGGCCAGAAGACTGCAGCGCATCTCTCTGCGTCGCCGAAAGTGACCTTATAGTATGGAGTGTGACATCAGCGTGATGTCACATCCTGAGATACTACAGCTAGTGATGGCCAAATGAAGCCTTATGAAGCATTTTCTTTATTTTCTGAGCCCACTAGATGGCGCTCAAGGTCTAAAGAGAGAGGCCCAAAGAATAGCAATTCAGTGTTCACGAGGCTTCATTTGGCCATCACTAACTACAACATGACAATCAGTCTTTGTTTTTATTTGCGTATCGCAGCCTTGTACTCCAGCGGACCTTCTGCTTAGTTTCAGTCTTGTGTCTGTAACTGTTGCTGCATTATCACTTCTTTATCTTCTGGTGGTGTCTCTTCACTGCAACACTGTCAGCTCCTGCTTTGTGTGGACCGACCACTTCTTTTAAATCTCTTCTCAAACTCTTTTTTGCAACGTACATTTTGTATTCAGAATTTCTTAATTTGTATTTTATCGCTGATTATTTTAAGGTCCACTGATAAAAATATTATAGGGCTACACTGTATATTTTATTATGTCTATAGGCTTGCTTTTAGTTTCCACTGCTCGCCCTGCTCCACTCGTGTCCAGCAGGAACCATTTATGTGTTTTTAATGCAGTTTTGCTAACTGATTGTCGTTGGTCCTCATTTATCAATCAAACGTACAAACCGACGTAGATCTGAATGCAGAAGTCATCTCACAATAGGGTTCGCATGTGATTCATGAAGGGTTCTTATCCGTCCCCCCGAGTTTACATCATGGAGAGACGTGACAGCCAATAAGAGAAACCTACAAGCCTACAAGAGTTGAGACCTGACGTGAGATTTGTCCGCAGCCTCCACTCACGTCCACATTGATAAATGCTGAGCTTTGCTTGGAAATGACAACACACCCAGTATTCAGTCGTACGTTCATTGTAAATGTGGGTCAATGTGTGTTTTTGGTTGTGTGTTTTTGGTTCTATGTTATTTTTTCAGCTCACAAGGCTGACATGTCGAGGCACTGCTGAATGTCCTCTACAAATATTTTTACCAGTCTCCATCAACAATGCACTCGACATCCGAACTCCTCAGTGTTACCAGTGAGACGTATGCAGAGCTGTCAGGTTTGTGTGTCTTCTGTAAAAAGTGAGCTTTGTCAATGAAGAGTTAAACATGAAACACACCTGACCTGATGATACCGGCAGTACAAAGCACCTGAATAGTAATGAGTGAATGGAGGTTTGAGGGGGTTAGTATTATACTCTGAATGTTTCAGACAGCTGCTCTATAATCAGTAAATCATTTTTGACATTGTTGTGTAAGATTGACGTTAGGATGAGAATCCTGATAGCAGCAGCACAGAGACAGGTGAGCTCTGGTGTTACAGTGAAATGTCTGACTGTTAGTTCATGAGCTGATTAAAAATAAATAAAGACAAGGTGAAGTTTTTACCTTTAAATACAAGTTCATGTTTGAGCATTGCTGTGCCTTTGTCATGACGCTTCACGCTTTTCTCAAGAGTAGTGTACCAACCTTAGTGATGGTCAAATGAAGCCTCATGAAGCATTTTCTTTATTTTCTGAGCCCACTAGATGGCGCTCATGGTTTAAAGAGAGAGGCTCAAAGAATGGCAATTCAGAGTGCTTTCAACCTTTTGTTGAACAAAAAGCGCCATCTAGTGGGCTCATAAAATAAAGTAAGTGCTTCATGAGGCTTCATTTGGCCATCACTACTGGCCATCACATATCAGGCCTTCACATTACACATTTACTAAGGACAGGAAGTTTGCTAAATAAAAGAGAGAAAGACCAAATCAACCTTTTTTTCTTTGATATGCACAAATACACATTTAAATAGCTTGAGCTCTGTGATAGTCTGGCAACCCACCCAGGGTGTACTCCGCCTCTCGTCAACTGGGCTGGACTGCTTTTTCAATCAGTGGACCAATTAAAATAAATAAATTATAATAGAACTAAATTCTTTTAATTGGTATCGGCTGATATTTGCTTTGAAATTAATGTCCTGGTGTTATTGCGGCGTCCCGGAACATCAACAGCTGACGCAGGAGGATACCGAGTGCACAATATGTAAACGTATAGGTCCACTGACAAAGTGGTGACATGTGACTTGGGATGAGAACATGTTGTCTGTGGTCCTAATTTAGTGATGGCCAAATGAAGCTTCATGAAGCATTTTCCTTTATTCTATGAGCCCACTAGATGGCACTTTTTGTTGAACAAAAGGTTGAAAGCACACTGAATTGCCATTCTTTGAGCCTCTCTCTTTAAACCATGAGCGCCATCTAGTGGGCTCAGAAAATAAAGAAAATGCTTCATGAGGCTTCATTTGGCCATCACTACCTAATATGTCTTAAATGCTGTGTATCCTCGCTGCATTTGTGACCAGTGCGAAGTGTGTGTGGCCAGTGAAGAAAAGAAAATACAGTGTTTGGTCAAAGCAACATTTAATGAGACTGTGAAAATAAAAACATTCATTGACAACAAAAGTTAAAGGCTTCAGTCCTTCACATCTCTCTCTTCATCCTCTAAGTGAACCATCTGCTTCTCTGCTTTCAGCAGTCTCACTCCTACAGAGGAAGAAAACACAGGCTGTCAGCTGTTCACCCACAAACAGTTCGCTGTGATGTTCGGGTGGAGAAACGACTTGTTCTGTTAGTGGATGCAGCACAGTTAACTGAGGACAACATAAACATTGTGTCAAACTTCTACACAACCTGAGTTTTATTTGCTGAGATCTGGATGGCAGGAGAAATTACTGCACACCAATTCAGCTGAGCTGGACAGCCACAGAAAAGCTTCACAGGCTGAGATCAATGTCAAAATAATGACAATATATTCAGAACATTCGTGTAAAAGATAAAAAAAAAAAAAGTGATTAGAAACAGCAGCAAATGTTCAGTCCTTGACTTTTATCAGTGCTACTGACGTGAGTGCTTCACAGAAGAAAAATATATAAATAAAAATAAAATAATAAATAAAAAATAAGAACAGAATTGTTCTGAACAAATTATTATCAACTTAATATCCAAGACTATATGCTTTGTCTAATTTTTTATCTATATAAAGTTATATAAATTTAAATATAAATTATATATATATAAGTCAGGTAATAAATATGTAAATGTAGCCATTTTCTGTACATTCACATCTGTTAAATTGTTTGGGTTTTTTGTTTTGTTTTACAATATTTCATAGTGAAATTATTAATTTTACTATTTAAAACCAGCTGCATAAATTTAAAAGCACATAAGCATGCACATATCCAACAGACATTTATTTTAATTTTAAGAATTTTCTTGTTGGCCCTGTTGGATATGCTTTGTCATATTTTGTGTTTGCTCTTTTTATTAATTCAATTTATTTATTCATTATTTTTCATATTTATTTATTTATTTTATTTTATTTATATTTTCATTTTAATTAATTTTATTTATTTATTTATTTGAATTTCTCAATTTATTTTTTCCATACAACTTTTTATTTAGTTTAATTTTTTCCTTTTATTTTTGTTATGTGTATCTATAATTTTCTTTTTTTACTTTCTTTTTTTCCTGTGTATAATATAGTTGTGTTTTTTATACATGTGTATATGTTCTGCTGTCACACATTGGTATTTAAAGATATGATGTGTACTCATAGGACAGGTGATTGTGATTTGGTATTCAGGCCTCTGCTCCTCAGAGCTGATCTCATCTAATAATTGGCAGCAGCTGACTGATTCATCACCTGGTAGGAATCTGTCTGTGTCTGCTCTGTGAAGCACTCATGTCAGGAGCACTGATGAAAGTCAGGGACTGAAACATTTGTTGCTGTTTTTAATCACTTTTTATTGCAATTTTTGGCACTTTGAGCACATTTCTTTTTGTGCACAGATGTCCAGAATAAACTGACATTTTTTGGCATTGATGTCAGCCTGTGAACCTTTTCAGTGGCTGTCCAGCTCAGCTGAACTGGTGCGCTGGTATTTCTTCTGCCATTTTCTCTTGATTGTCCAGTATACTGACAAACTTTTTTGTTGCCTTAAGTAGGTGCAGCCAAACAGCAGCCCTAAGAATTTCCTGAGGTCTGGCCATTGATTCCAGCAGCTACAGTGACACCTACTCTCAAAGGAAAGGTTCAGGGGATGTTGTCACTAAAAATAAATGTGACAGGTCATGAAACAGAAGCAGTCAGACAGAAAAAAAAGACAGCTGTGTTGGCCCAAAAGTCACATGGGCCCAGTGGGGTGCTGCCCGGTGTGCCAGTCCAGCCCCGGAGGCAAGACAAATTATTACCCAAACTCCCATCAGAGTTTACAGAGCCACTTCCTGCTCAAACTTTAACCTGCTGTACTACAATTATTCACTCCCAGTTTCCTGAGCAGTGACGGATTATCAGCAATGTTTCAGCCTAAATGAAGTGGTTTAGATCATGTGGATACGCCTGTCTGAAGAGTGAGGTCTCACTCCGAAGTCGTCGAAATCCAGTGCTTGTGCAGTGACTTGCGGTGTCAGAAACGAAAAACGGCGTCCTTTAATGTTGGCATGACACGCGGTCAGTTGTTATTATAGTTTAACAGCGCACGGCAGCATCAGGGGGAAACGCGGCAGGACAAGGATGAAAGTAAAGCGTTGAAAGTCCAAATGGGGTGGGAGGGTCCAACAAACACTGACTTTCACCTGAGAGAGATTTTAAGCCAAACCCTGTTCTTTTTTCCGAACTGTAAAGAAAGAGACTGTATGCAAACTGTACATTTCCTGTGAAAACAGAAGTGTATTTTGAAAACAGGCAATGCATGTAACAGGCTGAAGTTGACACTGCGTCCCAGAACGTCAACAACCAACACACCCAGGGTACCTTGGACGTCATATGTGGACGTGGAAAGTCCATGACCAAACGTGGACATGTGACGAGGTCACAGTGAGGACGTGTTGGGTTTGTGCAGCTGGCTCCTGGATCTTAAGTTATCAGAGAAATAATAAGGAGCACACATGAGCAGCTGCTGGGCTGAAGGCCTGTCTCCAGTGTGCCAAACAGAGTTGGAGAAACACTGAACTGATTTACTGTATCACCTGGGCTGTTTGTTGTGCAGAGGACCGTTGTGGATAATTCGGCTCCTGGTTAAAACCTGCGCTAAAGGGATTCTGATCAGGAGAAATTTAAACTGGTTGCAATCTGCAATTCTAAACTCGAGCTGCAACTACATCTCCCAAAATGTTTTTTTTCCACTTCTAGTTTTAGTTGAGTTGTAGTGAAGGATAATAACCTTGGTACTAACCTGGTATATGTGGAGGAGAGTTGAGGACAGGCGTGTCTTTTCTGCGAGGTTTCTTCTCCTGGTCTGCCTCCTGATTCTCTACGCAGAGAGGCTCCTCCTCCTCCTCCTCCTCCTCCTCATCCTTCATCTTTGACTTCCTGTCCAGCGGGCTCTCCAGTGCTTCCTTGTCTGTCACACAGTCAGTCAAACTGTCACATTTCCAAGCAGCTTTTCTTAGTCACACCTGTTACATGTGGACGAGACATGATGCAGATATTTAAAGGTGTTCATTCTGATTTTTTCGACAGCGAACACTAATTTTCCTTTTTTTAGCCGTTTTTTGCTTGTTGTGAAACACAGCGGTGATCTGATGCATTTTAACGGTCAGTTCACTCAAATTACAAAACAAACAAAAACAAAATATTTTCTCCATCTTCAGGATCATTTATTCTCCCTTTACGTAGGAAAAATGATACATCCACTTCAAACGTAAACGTCACTGCACACATATTTCTATGCATCCATTATGATGGCATTGATACAGCCAATAGATGGCACTAGAGGGCGGAGTCAAAACTTTCACAACAATAAATGAGCTGACAGTGGAAGAGGTTGTAATATTGTACTTTTTCCTGGGATTTCCTCCATGGATATACAATATCAGAAGAGGAGCTGTTACGAAAGCAGTGAGGAGTAAACAGAGTAAAACTTTTGGTTTATGATCTGAGGGGAAGCTGAAGTCATCAACCAGCCTGACGTTATAATTCTGTTGCTGAGGAGGGAGCTCTTCCTCTCCGGTATTTCACCTAAGAGCCAGCAGGATCTCTGCGATGTCTCCATGTCAACAGTCTACTAAGCCCCGTCTCCACCAAACCCTTTCAGTCCAGCACCTTTGGAACCAGCAGTAAGCCTTCAGACATGGTACCTAGACCCTCGGTGTGTTCAGACAGTCCTCTTAAATGTGGGCGGGGTTGTTGTCACTCACTGCTCCGTCCAGCACTCGCTGTATTTCCTCATCAGCGGTGACACAGATGGAAGTCTGCACCTGGTTTATCGTCCACAGAACGAGGCTGCACGCCCACATTTTCACAACAAAATAGAACAGGCTGCAGTGAGAGTCTCTCTCCATGGGATATTTAAAAATAGCAGCTTTGTGCATTTAGTCCTTCTCAGGCAAGCTCAGGGGTTTAGTGTTGCTGTAGCCCACAGGAAGTGAGGATTAGAATATATGACCTTCACATAATCCGCTCCAAATTAATCTATATTTTTAAAGTCATTACTAAAAGTGTGTGTCATATAAAAACTAAAGTGATGTTCAAAGTTGTCACAGTGAAATTTAAGGTGTGCTGATGGATTCACGTCATCAACTCATGCATTGAGTAACATTACAAGTTAACGTTCCACCTTAAAAGTTGCCGGCAGTCGGCCCAGTGAATGAAGTTATTTTTTTCTCTTTCATTTTATAGTTGTAGTTTACTGATGTATGAACAGAGGTTACATAAAACCAGAGTGAGCGTTCTCTACTGACCAATCAGACTGCAGGGTTTCTAGCTCCACCTTTTAGTACCAGATCTGTGTGCTAACACTTATTAAGATAAAAACTAGTCAGACTAGTCTGAAGTACAGTCTTGTACCCAGTGACATCACCAGCTGGCTTGTGAAAAGATGGCTTCCTTCTGTGGTGAAAACATTAAATACAATCTAGTCTTCGAGCAAAGGTGGATATCAAGTCTGACTGCGGTGTCATATTTTGCTCACTGTTTTCGCGTTGATAGGCGCCTCACGTTTCTGCACTCTACACACCTGGTGTTTTTGCTGGAGCGCTCTGAACTCGAGTTGAAAAAACTTCAACACCCCACGTTATCTCTGCTTTTTCCTCATTGTCCAATGATATGATTTGAGAGGCGGGGCTTGTGTGGTGGTGACGGTTGGTAAACAATGGAGGAGAAACTGGTGGTAGTGGTTGCTGGATACCCAGAGCTATACGACTTTACAAAGCACAGTTAGCACCATGTCAATAGAAAACAGCAGATAAGTGCAGTACTGTAAACTTCCATGATGGAGGAGAAGCTCCTGGACCAACTGGTGGTACTCCCCATGATCCAGCCTCTTTTTTAGGGTCTCATGTACCCACACAGATCTCTGTTTATCTGCTGACAGCCTCTCACCCTCAACCAGAGCTACAGGCAGTACCCTCTGTCAGGAGCTACATAGTGACTGCTGTCAGATAAATACAATGAAATAAATAAATAAATAAATAAATAAACAGCAGACTGATGACACAGGGAGGTCAGGGTGAGGAGGTGATGGGGTGGTTGATTTGCAACAATAAAAAGGTGCAGCAAGTGTTTTACTGGTGGCATTCAATTCAAGAAAAAATAAAGCAGTATGTTGCGCCTTGTGTTCTGCAACCATCAAAACACTTTCTGTGTGATCGTTGTCCCATCAGCAGATTAACTGTTTGTTTGTCAGGACTTTTATTTTCATGTCTTATTTTAAAAAGAGGGGATTTATTTGAGTCACAAGCTTCTTCTAAAAAATGTAAAAGTCACAATATGTTTTACAAAATGATTGCACAAAGTCAGATTTAAACTGAAACATTTTGTTATTATTGTTTTATTTTTTCATTGTTAAATGGCCGAGCTCTTTACTTACAGTGTTTGCTCTCCTGTGTCATCAGTCGATGTTCAGGCTCCAGGGTCGACCTCACACAGCCAGTCGTCATCTCTGAGGCCCTTTGAGCTTTCTACACAGATCACATAACACACACACACACACACACACACACGCATTTGCAATCCATTATTTATTAGTGGACCTTGTGACACTAACAAAGGATGAAGCAGTGTGTGTGTGTGTGTGTGTGACTCATCTGCTTAATATCAGACAAAACAGCATCGACACACGCTGCAGTCAACTTTAAACAACATTTTTTGTCCGTGATCGTCACTTTCAGATCTGTAAACTTTCAACATGTTGAAATCTAACGCACATTTTGTCAGGTAAGTAGACGAAATCTAATTGGATTTTCCGAACTGACAAAGCCAGCACGGCACATGAAAGATAAACTGAAGGAAACCAAGAGAAGAAAGAAGCAACAAAAGTGGCTGCAAATAAATAACAGAGACACAAAACAAAAATGTAAAGCACAGAATGTTTGAGCCAAAAGAGTCAAAGTGTGTTCTTACCTCCGTCTCTGCAGTGTCACACAGACAGACTGGAGCAGCGGCTTATGAAGCTCAGAGGAGGAGCATCATCTCTCCTCTGCAGCCACCATGTGCCCTCCCCCACAGGCTGAAGAGCTGCTGAATATCAATATAGGTCTAATTAGCTCCTCTCAAGAGACTGACCATCTGGATGCACCCTCACATTGCACCTAATAAATAGAGCAATAAAAGAGACTCACAGGGATGGACAGTGGGTATTTAACACCCAACAAACTGCTTCTATTCTTATTTTCTTTGTTTTGTACGTGACTTTCTTGTTAAGCAGACAAGAAACTTTTATGGTTTAAATTCATACATGTTTTAAAACATCTCACCAGTCCTGTAAAATTCACCTAGAGCACTGATCTAAGTCAAACCCAGAGTAAACTGAAAGCTGTTCTTGTTCCATGTTTCGTACATGTACATGTCTGGTCTCATTTATAAGTTAATGCTGACGTTAATTCCCCAACAGTCAGAGTGACTGTCAGTGCTTCTGTCTTTAGGTTTCACACAGAAATAACAGGTTTTTAATCTTCGCCTGAATATTCTGATGCTGCCAGTTGACTAGTGATGGCCAAATGAAGCCTCATGAAGCATTTTCTTTATTTTCTGAAGCCCACCGGATGGCGCTCATGGTTTAAAGAGTGAGGCTCAAAGAATGGCAATTCAGTGTGCTTTCAAGCGCCATCTAGTGGGCTCAGAAAATAAAGAAAATGCTTCATGAGGCTTCATTTGGCCATCACTGCCGGTGACCACACTGTAAACCACTGCTGTGAATTTACAGCCGGTCTATAACACTAAAATACTGTACTGCTGTAAAATGTTTGGTACTGTAGTGAGCAATGCATTGTGGTCTGCTCCACGTGAAGCAACAGGACGGAGGCTCTAAACCAGGGGTGTCCAAACTTTTTTGAATGGGTGAAAGGTGAAAATACCTGGGGGCCAACTGATTCTCGCATCAAATGGGTTTAAAAAAAGTGAGACAAATGCAACCATTTTTATCTTTTAATGAACTATTACTACGTGATGCCTGTCTACAAACTGTATGATAGACCTATATGTGAGGTGAAGGGTAAAAGTGCAAAGTGATCTTGCTCGATTAACCATTATTGTGTAAAGGGCCACATATGGTATATTTTGAAAGTCAAGCCGAGGGCCGATTAAAATTGGTCTGCGGGCCACAATTGACCCCCGGGCCAGACTTTGGACACGCCTGCTCTAAACAGTCTGCTGCTGTTTTAAATGACAGGACTACAGCGCAGTCAGAAGTGTGATCTTGTAATTCTAACATTAGGCGAGTGCTTTTTGTTTCACACTCAGTTGTCTTTAAGGCTGCTCTCAGACCTAGGCTGAATCCAGATGTCAGCACTTCACCCCACTTGCAGACCCGCAGATTTTAGGGGCATGTTCCCAGGAAGTCTGGGAGTGCTGAGGGCTGTTCACATCCACAATTCATCCAGTCCACAAGGGACTCAAGCGGACTTTCTGCAGACTTCCAGAGAGTCCGCTTGGGGTGCAGACTTCAGCAGATTTCACTGATTTAAAGTCCATTCTCACTGAGAGTGAATATCCGCGTGGATTATTCTCACGGAAAAATATAAAAGCTGATTTCATGGGTTCTTACGGAAGTTTGCACACCGGGGCGGAACAGAAGTTTCCCCCCAGACTTTGACCCCCGTGGAATTCGCCGGCGGAACTACACAGCTGGGCCAATGAAATCCTTTGTTTATAGTGACGTCGCGCAGACCCGGGAGAGTCCAAAATCCAGCCAGGCAGGACAGTATGAGAGAGAGGTTGATAAACATGATTTCACAGCACCCCGTCCTTTTTGATAAAAGACAGGATGATTTTATGAACAATGAATTAAAGGACAACGTCTGGCAGTCCATTGTCCAGCTTGGTGGCTGCAGTGAGAGTGGTAAGTGCTAAAGAAAGTTGATGTTGACGCTTGATAAACGTTAGTGCTAGCTCACTGCTGCTGCTGCTACTCTCGTCCATGTTCACCCACACCCGTTCACACTGAGCGGAATTGGAACACAACAACGCGAAATTCTGCACCGCACCTGTGTGTATGGTTTAAACGCGGGAAAGCGCTGCGCAAATATTCCATAAATCTGTCCAGCATTTCTGCATCCCGGCAGTGAGAATGGACCTTTACTCCTCTTCATCGCCTATGGGACATAAGGCTTCAGTGAGCTCTCTCCATTATATTCGGTCCTTGGCAGCATGTTGCACCTCTCCCCATGACAGGTTCATCTGTTCCAGCTCTTGTGTCACAGTTCTGCATCAGGTGGTTTTGGGCCTCCCAGGTTTTCTTTTGCCTGGTGGTGTCCATCTTAAGGCAACTTTTGTGATCCGATCCTGCTCCATTCTCAACACGTCTTAGTCGTCTCAGGCGTCTGTGTGTAATTTCCTTGGTGATGCTCTGGCTACCTGTTTTCTTGTACAGTTCATGGCTGGAGATTTTATTAGGCCAAAAGACCTGGCATATCCGTCTGAGGCATCCACTGTGAGAAACGTCCAGTCTCCTCTTGTCTGTTTTGACCACTCACCAGCTCTCTGCACCATACAGCAGAACAGGCTTGACATTGCTGTTATACAATAGCATCTTTGTTTTAAGGCTGTATTGCTTGGACCTCCAGATGGAACAGAGTATGGAAAAGGCAACCCAGGCCTTTCCCAGCCTTGCGTTGATGTCTTTTTGTGCCCCTCTGTCCTTACTGATGAAGATACCAAGGATGGGTGCTGTGGGGGAGTTCGCATACATCACTTGGGTTTTGGAGGTGTTGATGTTGAGTCCAACCTGCCTGGCAAAGTTGTTTAGTCTGCATTTTGGGGTAGTTGGTTGAAAGGAGAGCAAGGTCGTCAGCAAAGTTAAGATCTTCCAGCTGGGAGAGCAGGGTCCACTGGATGCCTCTCGGTCTATCCCCGGAGGATCGACACCTTGCTGTGGTCGGGGGGCTTGCGTACCTCAATGACCTCTAGAGCTATGACAGTGGGAGCACAGTCTCCTGGCAGGGTCACCCACACTGGACAGGTCGAAGGGTAGAGGTCTGACAAAGAGCGATCCTGGTCCTCCAGGTTCGGGGTTGGGTGTGGCGCTAACAACGGCACCCCGTAGAAAACTGACAATTCATAGCAGTACAGATGTGACGTTGTGGGTTTTTCAACTGCCGAAGAAAAAACTCATGAATGTGTAAAATAGTTATTGGTAGTTTGGCCTATTAAAATGTTAATTGAATTGTACTGAAAATACATTTTGCAGTGTAATAAGCAAAACAATTGGCTGAAAAACAACAAAAGAATGTTTCTAATTTCAGTAATGCCCAATTTATTGAGTTATAGTCCTGATTTACAAACTGTTTTTGAACGTGTGTAGCCTCCTGTATGATATATAGAGACAAATAAATATAAGTAATAAGCATTTACAAGCGGACCAGATCAAATTCCTGTGTCAGAAAGCTGCTCTTGATTGGTCAGAATTTCCATGTGGGAAAAATCCAGAAAGTAAAGCAAACATTGAAGAAGAACAATCTAATCTAAAGCAGCGACATGAGAAAATGATTTCATGATTCATGTGAAGCCACACGGTGCTCCAGGTGTTCAAGTTAGGGGGATCTTGGACTCTTCACATGCAGAAAAATGATGTGGTGAATCCCGGTTAAAACATATCATGCCCTCTTTGTCTCATGAGAAATATTCCAGTCACAACAGAGAAGTTAAAGGCTTTTATTTCAGGATTATGTCCCTCATATTTGTTTTACATTTTATGTATTAAGAAGTATTAAGAAAATAAAAACATTTGTACAGTTTGTATTGCACAAGTATGCGACTTTTTAATAGGAAGTGACATTGTGTGTGGAAGCAAACAGGAGCAACAGATTGTTTCTGTCCGTGTTCTGTCTATCGCAGGTGAGTCATATGAGCTCTGCTTCCTACAAATAAAACACTTGTGATTCTCCATTCAAACCAAAGCCTTTTGAAGTCTGGATGAGGGGTTGTGCTGTGGTAATTGGTACATCCTGCTCTGAAGTGTGTGCTGCAGCTCGTTGGAGTTATTGTTCCCAACCTCCTCTGCAGCACAGCAGCCTTAATGGCTTTCTAAGACAATATAACAAAGACTGATAGAGAACATGAACATACAAACAACACAAACCCGTTTTCACTGTTCTAAGGTCTGTTGTCGTGGTATTTAAATGAAGCGCTGTGCATCCGCTGAGCAGAGGCCTAGTGTGTAACAACATCTTCATCTGTCTTACATTTATATTGAGATACCTTGTTAATAAGCATTTTAATAATTCAGAAACAGCCTACTCTATGCCGTTACAATCGCTTCTCTTTGCATAATCCTAGGGGGTTATATCAGACAGTCACTCAGCTGTTTGCATTTCTGAAACATCCATCACTACACTGTAAATCTGAAAAGATACTGAATATGATTAGAAGACCTCAGGAAATGTCAGAGTCAGTCAGATGCAGTCTCATGCAGCATGCCTCGCACCTGAAACAAAGGATGATATAAAAGTTGTCAAAGAAGCACAATTAAATTAATAAATTAACCATTAAGAACATAACATCACCTTCAACTCTATGCTGATGACACACAGCTGTATCTCCCTCTCAAGCCTAAACACAGGTCCAATGTTGCCAATCTCATAAACGGCCTTGAGGACATGAAGACCTGGATGGCACAGACCTTCCTTATCTACTCTTAATTCGTTTTGTGGCCCTGAGCACACACTGGACGCAGTGTGCTGCAGCTCCTCAACAGACGACCACACAAAGTTACAGATCTGTACTTCTTCCTCCTCTGCGTTAGCTTAAAATCATGTGTGGACAGCCTCTAATGAAGCTGCCATAAGAGCAGAGAAAAAGAGCCACTGCGGGAGCTGATATGTACGAGCAGAGAGTGAGTGGGGGAAAACTGCATTTAATTCTGTGGGCGGCGAGGCTGGATATAGGACAGTGGCGTGAAGTACCGCAGGGCAGCCCGTCCAGGAGCGCCGACGTGTGTCTAGCCGTCACCAGTATGTGGGGTTGTACATTGAGAATACTAGGGGTGTATTTTGGACGTGCAGCATTCACCACCGGTGTTTTGGTCCTAAGGGGTCATTGGAGGAAAAATATGGATAAAAAAGATACAATTGCATTCGTTCTCAAAACTTTTGTGATCTCCTAAGGAATCTTCCTGACAAAGGTCTCAGACCTTTAACTTAAATCTGTGGAAAAACGGCAGCAAAAGCATTTTGTTTAAATTTTTGTTCAGTATTTATTCGATTTTTAAAAAGCCTTTTGTCATGGCTGCGTGCCAGTGAGCATCCTTTATGGAGAAAATAAAGGAAACTTCAATTGAGGTTGGATCGTTTGACAATGATCAAATTGTCCATGTAAAATTATAAACTTACCATTTACTCCAACGAGTCTGTGTTCACAGAATGACGCAAAGACTCCTTCAACTGAAAAGAAGGACACACAACATTTAGACAGTGCTAAGGTTTCAAATATCTCTGATCTCATGATATCAATAATATTTGTACTGTATATATTAGCTGCCATCTAGCTTATGCATATACTGCATTAACCCCTGGAACATGTTCTGCAGTTAACCTGCATATTTTAATGGACATTGTTTTTGCTTTCTTAGAGCACAATGTGGACAGTTAACCACAGAAGTCATTCTGTTTACACAAGTGTTACTCCTTATATTTAATTTTCCTATTTGGCAGGAAGGTGGAACATTTTAATTTCAGTGGGTGGATCCACCGACTATATCTAGCCAGTAGCGCTCAACCTCTTCCACAAGCTCCGGCTCCTTCCCTGCCAGAGAGGTGACATTCCATGTCCC